GGTTTGCTGAGTTTTGGGTTTCTTGCAGCCATTAGATTTCAGGCGCGCTCTAGAAGAGGATCATTATTATTATTACTGGGGGGTTTGCTTCTCCTTAGAGAGAAAGGCTCCTCCTTATCACCGATGTGTGCCGCGCCAGAGCCTGTCGCGTCTCGAAGCTACCCGCTAGGCACAGTACCTTTGCAGTGCAAAAAGTCCTCGGGCTGAGAGAAGGAGCCCTCTTCGCAGAGCAACTCGCAGGTCTTGTCCGATGCCAGAGGGTAGCCGTTGTCCTCCTCGTTGTAGTCGCTCTTGCCGTTGCTGTTTGAGTAGCCATTGGCATACATCTTCAGGGCGGACCTGCGGAGGCACAGGAGCTCCTGGAAGGCATACCTGAAGTCCGGGCTCCGGCAGTAGATCAAAGGGTTGAAGGCAGAGTTGACATAGCCTAGCCAGTTCAAGAGGATGTACACGTACTTGGGTATGACATCGTCCTGGATGACGTGCACAATGTTGACGATGAAGAAGGGCAGCCAGCACAGCGTGAAGGTGCCCATGATGATGCCCAGGGTCTTGAGGGCCTTGTGCTCCTTCAAGAAGAACTTGGAGGAACGGCGGTGCCCAGCTCCCCCTTTCTGCTCCTGCTCCTTGTTCTGGGTGTGAAACCTCCCCTCGCTCTTGTCTATCTTCTGCAACTGCTTCTTGGCCACCTGGAAGACCCTGGCGTACACGAATACCATGACCACGAGCGGCAGGTAGAAGGAGATGATGGAGGAGGCAATGGCATAGGCTTGGTTGGTGAAGAAGTCACAACACGTGTCCTCCTCATAGCACATGATGGCCTCGTGATGATCTGCCCGGTACCAGTGCATCTGGATGGGCAAGAAGGAGGTGAGGGCTGAGACCACCCACACCACGAGGATGACCACGCGTGCCTTGCTCTTGGTCAGCAGGCTCTGGTACTTAAAAGGGGAGGTGATGGCGAAGTACCGGTCCACGGCAATGACGCAGAGGGTCTCGATGCTGGCTGTGACGCAGAGCACGTCCAGGGAGGTCCAGAAGTCACACCAGAAGTTCCCAAACTTCCACATATCCATGATGATGTGGCTGGCGCCGAAGGGCACCACGGCCAGCCCCATCACCAGGTCAGCGCAGGCCAGCGAGGTGATGAAGCAGTTGGTGACCGTCTGCAGGCGCTGGAACCGGGCGATGGCGGTGATCACCAGCACGTTGCCGAAGACGATGGCCAGCACGATGACCGACATGAGGATCCCCATGCCCACCATCCACACATCCCGTGACAGCGTGGGGTCGGCGGCGCTCTGGTTGGCG